TGCATTCTGGACAGCATTCCTGACTTTGTGAGATGAATCGCTATGAATCAGCAGCGCCTGCCAAATAACATTTGTTGAGATTTTTTGCCCTGCTCCACTGATTAAATATTTTCTCCCATCCACGTGCACTGCGAATGTCAGACCCTGACCCTTTGCTCCTGGCAAGCATGCTCCATTCATCAGATGAAGCTCACGCACAGCAGTGCTGCCCCCAAGGGACCCCCAGTTTGGCAGGAATGGTGTCCTTATCAAGAGGTTCAACATCAACACGAACAATTGCCACATCTGTCTCGAGGTTGCGCTCTTACCTGAAGTCACACTATGCACTACGCCCTCCTTGGTTTTGGCACCTGTGAAAGGAAGCAAAGAGTCTGTCAGTGTTAGCCAGCAAAGAGCATGCAGGTTTCTGGCCCCAGGTGGCTTTTTGTCCCTGCGAGGAGTGCTGGGAAAACATCAGCCATGCATTGCCTAGAGATGCCTGAACTTGAAAAATCCTGATGATAACGTGTTTAAGACAGACAGACTGTCCCTTGGATATTTCTAAAATGAGAATAACTGGTGAGTAGTAATAAAAGAATGTCAGGTTAATTGTAAAAATGAATGCATATTAAATGACCAAGTAAAATTTCACTTGTTTCAGTCTTTCAAAAGATGGAATTACCTCAGTGACACCCTTCTGTCTTTCAGCAGGTCATTTGAGCACCATACTCAGAACTAGCCCCTAAGGAATAACAACTTACCCTCTAAAGGAAAACACACTTACGAGTTAATGCGGAGAAGACTTGCATGTCTTATGTTGAATCTTGTGGTGGACGAGAAGCCCCTCCATTAGCTAGGTACTCTTTCACATTAGAAAAATAAAACACCAAACTTATCGCTGTCAAAAGTTAAGAAAATTTACTCTAAAAGTTTTCCCTTTGATGGTTCCATCTTATTGTAATTTGTAAATCATCCATACCTACACAGCCTATTTTCAAATTTTCACAGCAAAACAAACAAACAACAACAACAAAAACACAGACATTTTTATGGCCAGGTTTCAAAATGATAGTAATACAGAATCAGTCAGGTACAGATGTATTACAGCATCCATGGGTGTAATGGGAGAAGTTAGTCATGAACCATACCTAATTTTCTTTAAAAACCTAAAAAGCAAAACAAGTGCAGCACTCTGATAACAGCTGACAGGGTGGAACAAAGCTGTCCTCCTATAAGATGCCCTAAACATTTCATTCTATCATCCTGAACTGTGCATCCTGAAGAGATAAAATCTCTGTACTTTTTTTGTTACAGCTATGAGCTAGATTTAGTAATGATGCACAGGACATGTTGTGCACTACGGTAAACTGGGTTCCAAAGTGATGCAGATAGGCTAGTGCACAGCAGCACGTCAGCAAGCAGGCCAGATGTGCATCTCATTAATGCCAGGAATGCAAGTCCCAGCATTGCCCAAATGCACAAAATCCAGTTCAGATGTGATCCAGCTTTAAGTCCTCCCCTTCCTCCCACGGTGCTGATGTGACATGTCAGGCATTCTCACACCAGACAGAGTTTCAAGTTCTGCCTTTCTTCGCGGCTTCTTGCTCAAAGAGCAATTCTAAGATAAATCAAATATATAGTTTATTGTCCTGGATTCACACCTTTCCATTTTGCAGTTAACACCTTAAGTGAGATAAAAAAAAAAAGTATACTTATAGCAAGCATAATTTTTTTACCCGTCTTTTTAGCTAAGATTTCTATTTGGACTTGATTCGTTTACAGAGGGATATTTTTAAAATGAAAACTAATTCCAGACGGGAGGGATGCACGTAAAAGAAAAGCATTTCCTGCATACGTTTCACGACAGAAAGGAGCCCGGGCAGCAGCAACGCCGCTGCCTGCCGCTCGGCGCTGCCTCCTCTTCCTCGCGCGCTCCCACCACCACTCCCCATGACTCAGGCTCCTGCATTCCCCGAGCGCCACGCGCGGCCCGACCTTCCGGCAGATCCGTGCCAGGCTCCAGCAGCTGTTGCATGGGAAAGCAATCACCCCATGCTCCTCTCCCCGCTGCTCATTAGCCCTTGCCCGCAGCCTCTGCACGCACAACTAGAAGCTCATGCTTCCCACCCCTTCTGCAAAAGGGGTGTCTGAGCTGTGCAGCATCCCTGAGAGCTGTGTATTTGAGTGGGGGAGAGAGGTGGTGGAGAGTCTGTGCAAAGACTGTGGTGGAAAAGACTCTAATGCTGCTCATTAGCCTTGAGGGAGCAGTCACTGGAGTCGCTTAAGTAGAGCTGGGCGCGCTGGGGCTGTTTGCAACATGCGTGACAGTAAGGGAGTCTGTGACGAGTCTTAGGCAGTATTGCAATTACTTCATCCTCACTTATCCCCCTCTTTAAACCAAATAAAACAAACACAACAGAATTAACTACTGAATACACATTGCCTGTGCAAGAATCCACTCTGCTTTCTGCATAGCTGGAGGCAGCTATGGTCTGGAGAGCAGTCTGTGTTTTTACCAGGAGCACAAGTGCTCATGCTGCAGGATTTCTCCTGCTCTCACCCTCTTTTCATGCACCCTCTCCTCTTCCCTGGACCCTCAGCAAACCACCCTATCCCTACGGACCCCCCTCGAGGCGGCAGCCCCTCCGGCCAGCCCAGCTGAAACGCACTGCGGTGTTAGCACAGGCAGGAGGCAGCTCGGGCGGCACAGGGAGGAGAGAAGAGACGGCTGCAGAGACCCCATGGCCCCATCTGCTCCAGACAGAGGCTTCAGAAAGAGCATTTAGCTCCGGGGGGCTGCAGTGAGCGACTCACCAGATGTGGTGGTCATGCTGGGCCCTCGGGAGCCCTCCAAAAGGCTTTGGGTTGGTCAGCAAAGAGTTAATGCAGCTGACAATAAAAGCGAGGGATCCTCTTCGCTCTTCTTGGGCTTAGGGTCTGTCTGTCACCTCCACCCCTGCCCTTTTCTGGCTTCCTGAAGAGACTCTCAAGCTTCGATGCAAGTCTTATTTTCTCCTAGCATGAGAAAATGTAGGTCGCTTCACCTAACACCCAGATGAACCTTCTGGGACAGGATTGGCCAAGGCAAGAAGCAGTTAAAGTTCTTTAACTCCTTGTACGACAAAGAGTGAGGAGCAGTGACTCAGACAACATAGCAATCATTTCAGCTTTAATGAATAAACCTCATTTCCACCTTCGCTGCTTATTTAAAATCAGTTCTGTGAGGTCATGAGGATCTGTGAAAGGCTGAATGTTCCCAAAAGAGCTGAGCATCCCCCCCAGCACGCAGGAGAACCTGAGCATCACACAGAATCAGCCTTGTCTTTAATTCGATCCCTATTAGGTAATCTAGGTTTTACAAAGGCTTTCAGGAAAGTTTACTGAAAAGGGCAAAATGTGAGCAGACTCTGCTTCACCTCGCCAAATGAAAAACAGGTCACAGGCTGAAGACACAAAACGCTATTGAAAAGCGATGGGAAGAATCACGTATAAAAATTCTGAATGATCCCCTCCAACGTTGCTTAAATCAGGAAGCAGCTAGGGCAGCAGCAATGCCACCATCCGACACCTAGACGTGACGTTGCACAGGCTGGTGTTTCAGATGCTGCTGTTGGTTGAATTATTTCCAGGGAGGCTCCTTACGCTGCTGCTTGTGAGTCAGCTCTAAATTGAAATGTGAGCTATTATACACCACAAAGAGCATGTTCAGTTCAGCATGCCAATAAATTTTTGGAATAAATACATTATCAGATCTGCTAAACACAATATTTGTATTCATTTATAGTTCAAAAATGTGCTATCTATAGTTATTGCCCATATAGATGTGAATGAATATTGTAGCATGATAGCAAGAAGCACCTATATGGAAACTTTCTGAATGATTTTTTTTCCCCCATATTTAGCAGACATAAAAAGCTGCAAAAGATGCAGTAATTAATATCCAGCTAGTCATTTTGGGAATCTAAGACTTTATAGAGCCTACAGTATCTAGAATATCTGACTGCCCAGCCACATAATTGCATGCACTAGGTAGGGAAGATACCACATTTCAAGGGCAACCCTGAAACAGGCAGTTTCTGAAAAAAAATATTAATTGAGAGAGATTTCTAGACAGGACATAACACATGTTGTAATCCAGAATCTATCCTTTGTGCAAAATGAATTTAGGTGTCTCTTGTTAAGGAAGATTAACGTGTGCACAGGGAGCAGAACAGGTCAGTGAACAGGAGGAGGGGGTTAGGACAAAATGGTATGTTTGTGGAAAACACGTACACGTCCTACAATGCCCACTGAATAACACTGTTCATCCCTGTCTGGGCTCTCACTCACTGTGCTGAGGAGAAAAGCAGCCCATCAGTGCTCAGAGCATTGAGTCTGAAAGCAAGCAGTGAATAATCATAAAAGAAACCTTCGCCGGAGCATCTGCTTGTTAATATTACATTATTTCTGCCTCCCACAAAGTACTGCCAGTTGCAATTCCTAATTTACAGTTGAGGAAACTGTGTAAGCCAGGGGTGTTGCAGAGAGGTTGTGGCACCCCAGGCTTACACAATACATCAGCAACAGAGCTAAGGACATGATCTACACCCCCAATTTTGGCAGACTTTCTCAAAGAAAATCTACGTGGAAGTTCATGCTCAAATATTAATTGGAATAGTTATCTCTTACCTACATACATCACACCCTCTTTGGTCTTCTCTGCAGCCTCCGTCACTCCCTGCTTGGTCTTTTCCGCAGCAGCCACAACACCTTCCTTAGCAATGGAGAAACCTTTCTTAAAGACATCCATCCTTTTTCCTTGCTTGGGTATCACCTGCAGGATCTGTGGGAGGGATAGCAGTAAAATCACCTCAAGACAGTGACTGCAATATGCAGTCTTACCCTCAGTGGAGATTCGGTTTCTCTGCCAGTCTGTTTGCTCTTATTCCTCTGCTGGATGAGGACAGTGTGGCAAACCTCACAGTCTTTGCCAGCTCTTATTGATCAAGTGCTCTGCAGTGTAGCCAATGCCTGCAAAAAGCTGATACTGAAATATTAATGATATGGGTCTGCTTGGCAAGATTTAACAAGGGAGGGGGGAGAGAAGGACACTGGTAGGTAAGGGACTTTCTGGAAAATTTCCAGATGGATAAGGCTTTATAAATATACTGTAATGCTCCCACTCAAGGACACTCTTGAATCCTTTCATGGGGAGAGGGAGATTTTTATCTGAAGAGCTGAGTTCCTGAAAGCTCCTCTCCCTGAGGTTACAGCAAGAAGAAAATGCACACGCTTGTGGGTTCCTGGAAGCTGGAAAGCATGTAAAGCAAGTAGCATTTCTAACAAACCAAACAGCATCATATTTCTTGGTGTAGCATTTACCAGAACTCATCCCACACAAAACAGTAGTGAGAACATTACTTGTAGCAAACACTGACAGAAAAAGGGGAAGAAAAGCCATTAGCTAATGCCTGGTGCCCAGGTACGGGAGCTCAGAATCCCACGAGCTGTTAGTGAAGTTTGAAGGTCGCCCCTCAGGGCATTTAGTATAAATTACAGTTTTTGCTTGGCTTCACATCCCTTTACGACAGTTCATTTCTGAAAAATCAGATGCCTGGCCAAGGAAATCCTGTTTCCTCTTCGCTTCTCTGAGCTGCGGTGTGCAGAGCTCAGGGAAGCTGCTGCAGAATGATGCAACATTTTACACAGGCACCATCACTTACGTCAGTCTGTGTCTCGGTGTATATTGGGGCTAGCAAACCACCCATCTGACAAGTGATCATTAAAATCTTTTGGTTTGCAAAGAAAAAAAAACATCCAGACTCAAGGGCTCACTAGGAAAGAAAGAAAAAAAAAGAATATTAAAACATACAAACATTAGTCACAGTTGGAAATTCTGATATGCCTTAAGTTAAACACTAAATTATCTTTCGAATAGATCCTGAGTGACCTGCACGAACTACTGCCTCACTAGCAAACTGAAATTCAAAGCAAGCCTGAAAGCAATTGCTGGTGCAGTCTTCTTATAACCGGGTGCTCAACATTTTGTCCTGTAACAGCTGACCACGGGGTGATGGTTTTAGACGGGGCTGTATCTGAAACTGCAGGACCACGAAGCAGCAGTCTCCGAACAGCAGCTGCGAGAGTATTAAACCGAGCGCCCTGGCTGCGCGACGTGCGGGCCGCACACCGCACTGCCCTGGGGTGCCATGGCCCGTAAGGCAGCGCCGCCGCAAGCTGCCCGTCTGGAGATGCAGATGGACCACGACTGCAGAGAAAAAACACTAGTCTGGACAAAAAATGTGGCAGATATACACACACGTGCAGGCACGGGCGACGTGGTACCTCTCGCTGCTGAAGTGAAACGCAATTTCTTTAGTTCGTGGGTGTGCTTTTATACTCCATATTGAAACATCTGAAAGGCTGTTGATCTGGAAAATAATACGTTGATTCCTCATCCTTGTTCTCACAACTGGTTCTCCCCGATCATACATGGAGGAGCAATTTCCACTTGCATGTAGAGGACTCAAACTCGTGGAAGCCTATAAAATTACTGTTAGTTAAAAAATACAGCACGATTCAGAAGGCAACCCAATACAACATGCTAACAGGATACTAATTTCAGTTTAGATCATTATTGTACAGAACTGAGAGGTGTAATTGCTATAAACTCTGACGTTACAATGTGAGGAAAAAAAAAAGTTTCTTCTATTATCTTTCAAAATTTCCTTTAGGGGCCTGATTGGGTGCTACCCAAATTGCTCAGCTGGTGCCCATATATGCTCCCAGTCTGCACTTAAAACAGATATACATATTTTATTTTATTGTGCAGCTGTTTAACATAGCTGCTCTTGAAGGCAGTGGTGACATTCCCATTGCTTTCATTACAACAGGGTGGGTGTCATGTTTTAAAAGTCTGGTAACTACTGAACATGCCCTTTTGGGGAGGTGCTGCAGGGCCCATTTACTCTTTCACTAGGTTTTCAAAAAGCATTAAAGTGCAGAGATTCACAGTGTTACAGGTGCTACCAGTATCTTCATAGAACTGCCAGCCTGATAAGGCTGAGCAAAAAGTGTATTTGGACTTTGTTAAACTATTGTTCCGTCATTGTAATTTGTACAATTGAATTCTACATACCCTGCATTGTTACTGAGGTTATCAAACATACGAAATACAAAGTAATTCTGGAATCTAAAACATGAATCATCACGAGATTCAATTAATCAGTGCTAGAATGGGATACTCCTTTCCTGCCCTCGCCTCTGCCCATGACCTTCAGAAGGCAGCTCGCAGGAGGCAGCTCCGTTCTGCTGGATCGCTCCCAAGGCAGCCAACAGTTTGCACAGGCAGTGTTGGAAATGCTCCCCACTCCAGACAACATTGCAGGTGATCCATATAGAGCACGCACCAGCAAAGGCTCTTTCTTAAACATTTGCTACCCCACGGCAATCACACTACCCTGTTTTCTATTCCAAGCAGAGAATTCAATCCCAGTGTTTTGCCAATCCTGCCTCAGGCAAATCTAATAACTGGAGTTAAAATAAGCAACCTTATTAACCTTATTTAAGCAACCTTAAAAGCTTTAAGGTTTTACTGGGTTATCAGCTTTCTGCCTGAAAAATAGTCTTCCATTTGTACTAGCTCTCCAACAACAGAAAAGCTTTAGATAAAATTTAGAATAAAAGAGGTGGTTTACAGGTAGCAAGCTACAAAACTGTTGAATCCACCAGTGCTCTTTATTATTATTATTTAGAATATTTCTTTCCAGTAGCTGAGGCGGGTTATAGAAGAGCTTTTACTCTGATGTGGAAAAGGGCTAACTGGAAAGTTTCATCCAATAATTGTCAGGTTTACAGCAAGGGTTAGTGCAGAATGAACAGGATGGATCATGAGATGCAAGGCAAACTCTTTGGCAAGGAGTCTGCCAAGTTAGACGTTACCGAGATGCCCAAGCTGTGGTGAATTCCCCGGTTGCTTTTATGCAGTTTTGCCTAAATGTGCGCGTGGATCCGACGCTCAGAGGGCTGCTCTCCCCCAGCACGAGGGGTGTCAGAGTCCCCAAAAGGGGCAGCTGTCCCTGGCCAGGCTGCCTACCTCGCTGCAGCCAACTGCCCTCTTTCCCAGCGTGCAAAGGAGATACAGGAATGCAAAGGGGAAAAAAAAAAAAAAAATCAAGACTCCCCGTCCCCTTTCTTTGCGTCTACAGGTTAAAATAGGATTTTACTTTGTTTCTTCCTCTTTCCTCACTTGTTTTCTCAGTTGCAACTTACTCAGCATGCAAGACCTTGTGTTCGCCCTTTAACGTGGAATGGAGACAAAGATATCCCACTGGATTCAAGGAATGGGATTTGGTCACATCCTATTTAAGTATCAAAATGGGGTAGGATATTGTTGGAAAGAAAGGTAAGGAAAGGAAAGACAACCAGCTGCTTCTGTGGTGAATAAATATCCTTTCTTCAGGAAGTTTTTATAGGCAGAAATACATTAACATATAGGAACAAACCTTGCTGCGTATAAACAAAAAATCCCCTGTCTCTGTCTCTCTCTCCATTTATGGATACTTCAGAGTGCAGAAGGGAGAATGGTCTCAGGCCATTAATTTACAGGCTCTAAGGAAAACAAGGAGTTCTGTCAGACATCCTCTTGGCAGACAATTTAAGCCTTGAATCCTGTGTGCATGTTTGCATAGTAAATGAGTAATTTCCTTTGTCAGGGAATAGTGGTGTAAAGTCTGACAGATAAGCAGCTTTTAAGGCAGATACACAGAGAGGAGAGTGCTGCTAGCACAGCACTCAGCAGTCTTTAGTAACCCATCTCCACTATTCAATATTGTTTAATAGATTTTGAGGAAATTGAAAAAATACATAGCTAAAAAGAAACCAACCTTCCCCCTCCAAAGGACAAGCTACTGAAAAGAGTAACTTCTTTGCCATGCTGTCTGCCTAGAAAAGGCGTTTCCTGGCACTGTTCTTTCTGTGCTCTCACCCTTAGCAGCCAAGCGCATCCTCACGGCCCGGCGGCACCGCACGGGGAGGCCTGGGGGTGCGGGCACGGGCGCGCGGGAGCCGGGCGCGCGGGATGAGACAGCGTTTTCCAGGCTGGAGGCTGCTGCGGACGAGCATCTGACCCCTTGCTGTACAGACACCAACAAAACTGCTCTGGCCAGCTTCACAGGCACAAAACCCTCACAGCTGCTCAGAGACTTGAAGCTGGGATATATGAATGTTAAGCAACATATACTTATTAAAATAATTCTAGGTTTCCTCAGCTTTCTAGACATTTTTTCCAAGCTTTTCTTTCTTTTTTTTTTTTTAAAAGATACTCAGATTCGGAATTTAAGACCATAATATAGATTTAAGATCATTATGAGGAGATAGCAAATCTGGGAAGATTCACGGGAAATGAAAAATGATCCATTAATTGAAATTTCATTTGAAAGGACTCATTCTCCAGAGAGAAACTAATTGGTATAGCCAGTTGCATCTGCTTTCCAAGTGTGCACAAACTGTTTATTGACCATGTTGCTTGGCACTGTTTACTGTCCAGTCACTAACCTCCCATTGAACTGTAGTTGCAGGGCTGTTACTTTAAACAAAGAGAAGGTGGCAAAGATGAGTAAATGGATTTTAGTTCTTACCCAGGTTACCCAGAAGAGTGTATCACTATTTGACAACTTGATTAGGGAACTACAAAGGGTGCACTGGATTCAGGCAGACAACACTACAGGGAATTTAAAGCCAGGTTTAACATAGTTTTGGTAATTAACGGACAAAACTAGAGAAGCCATGAAAGCTCTCTGCAAGATGCCAGGGTGTCTGGATGAGCCTCGTGATAATCGGTGATACGATTTGCTACAGAATGAAAATAGTGTGAAAAAGATTCTTTTAGAAATACTTGGGTAAAAGCATTTTCCCAAGGGGCATTCAAAAACAAACAAACAAACAACAACATAAAACACCACATACTGACTGGGGCGCTGCCAAAATCAGCTGTCAGAATTTGCCTTTTTTTGTTTTGTTTTTTAAACAAACACTTCTTCTTTTGTCACTGAGAAATGACACAAACCTTTGAGAAGTATCAGGGCAGCTACTAAAGGTCACACACTGCTATTACCATGTCACTTACCAATGGGGTTTCAAGTTTACTTCTGGAGTAAAACCCATTTCCAAATCCTTTTGCAAATTATGCTTTGAGTTGAATTTATTTCACCCATTTTTTCCATTCCTCCAATGGTACTAATAGGATGCACAGGTCTGTAAGGTACCTCAAACTTAAAGCAACTAACTGAACAGCAGACAGATATCTGTGATAACTGGCGCACAATTGTCCTTCTTCAATAATTACCTTTTTGAAGAAACTCCCCTTAAAAGGCAACGTATGAATTACTGTGGAAAATCTCTGCCCACATCTGCTTTCACTGCTTTCCATGCTGACTCACCTGCTCAGAAAAGGAAAGGTTGCTATGTATGATATTCCTAAACACCGACTCACATCCTCTATAGATGTTAAGGATGGAAACTTACAGCTCCGTCTACCAGCAAGTCAAATACTATGAACACAAATACAGCTGAATAAAGCTGAATATATTATCCAAGGACCCTAAATCAGGACAGCTGATACTAAGGCAAAAATTTTGACAAGTGCTATTTAGTAAGGAGGATCCTTAGAATAACTCATACTTCCCATGTATTCATTACAGCATCCTATGCTATACCCATTACAAGAAAGGAGATGTCGCTCCCCAGCATACTCAATATTTTAGTATCTTTCATAACCACTACTAAAAAGTCATGCTAAATTATTAACTTGCAAATGACTGAGCCATCTATGCCTCTAGATTGCTACATCTGCAGGCAGTACCATTTTAAAGATACACAGAACAAACTTCGACACCTGACAAAAATGCAGCAGGACAGCAGAGAAACACTGCCCCACTATGTGTGGGGTACCACACCTGACAGGAATAAATATTAAATGAATGAGGCAAGGCTACGTGAAAAGGTTTATGTTGGAAGACAAGTCCAAAGGTTTGGAAGTAGGTCCCAAACGTGCTTGCTTCATTTTTTTGCAGCGCAAAACTGCTTTTCTGCAAGCCATGATCAGGCAGTTCTGGTTTTAAGCCTATTGTTTGTTTTGCCTCAGGGTTTTCTCAGTTCCTTCCTGATACTAGATCTCATTAAGTAAACAAACACAATGCTTAGGTCACATCCAGTTACTTGGAAGAAAGGTACATTTATATGTGAATCCTGGCACAAAAAACATTCACACAGCAACATTAACATGCACCAGAGCTGGATGCACACATTATGAAATAAAAGCAGCAGGAAGGAACTGAGGGAAGTTGCTTGTTTCTTTCAGCCTTAAATCCAGAACTTGTGATTTTGTCTCCCCAGAGAAACGCCTGCAGCGAGAGCAGGTTTCATCCTCAGACCTACCATCGCGTCACCGTGTCCTGCTCCACGCACCACAGCTCTTGCCCTGTTGTTCCAGGGCTCTTGCACAGTGCTGTCAGGCACAAGTCAGCAGGAGCATTTCTGTGTATTTCTGGATATCTCCATAAAGCATGAGAGACAATCAGGAGAAGAGGGGCCCAACTCTAAGCAGTGATAACAAAATGCAAATCCATAGTCTTTAATAACAAACCTTTCCAAAACATAAAAGGCTTTATCCTCCTGTGGCTGTATATCTCACCATTCAAAGGGAGACATGATCTAGCAGTCCTGCAGCAGAACTCTCACCTTCTTGCTAGCAGAGCACCCTCCCTCCTAATTTTATCCTTAGAAGTGCCAGTGTGTGACATGCTGCAAGAGAATGGGAAATACACCATTTACTTTAGTATAGCAGCAAAATTAAAAGCCAGTAGCATCAAGCTAATCAAAGCCAGTTCAAAACTGCGTCCAATCTCCATATCCACTTCTTTTTATCATTAGGGTGAGATTGAAACCTTTAGTATAGCAGCAAAATTAAAAGCAGTAGCATCAAGGTAATCAAAGCCAGTTCAAAATTGCATCCAATCTCCATAGCCACCTCTTTTTATCATTAGGGTGAGATTGAAAATACAGCAACTTTAAGCAGCTTTTGTCAAGAGTTTTCCCTTTTAAAAAATAATAATTAAAAATACACACTGTATTAGGCTCAAGACCCAGAGGTGTGACCCAAACACGAATTTTCAGAAAAATGCAATACTCCTGACCTCTCTGAAGATCTATTTCTTAAAGTTCTTAAACTTGAATGAGAACAGAAAAAGATCCACACAAAACACAGAAAATAGAAATTTGTAAGCTCTTTTCCATTGTGCATTTACTCGGAATACCTCAATCACCTTGCTTGCCTGCATGCACTGCAAATCTTCTATTGCTGAAATCAGTGTGCTTCACGTTCTGAAACACGGCAAGAATAACTGCAGACAGTAGAGTAAGCAAATCTGTGACATTTTCTGGCACTGCAATGAGGGTCTGTTACACCACTCAGTTTTCTTTCCTTTCTTTTCTTTTCCTTTCCTTTAAAGCTAACATCCTTTTCCTGTGGCTGAGGGAGAAGGCCGTTGATAAAAGCTGAGTTCCTGTTCACAGATAAGTTTAGAAGGCAGCCAAACTCAGAAGTTCCTTGAATACGTTATATTCATACCGCCCTTTTTTTTTTTTTTCCTTCTGTCAGACTCTTGAGCCACACACAGGAACCAGACTCACATTGTTCAATAGCCACGGACATTTCCACAGTAGCTGGGAGGGTCGAAAGCCTTTTCCGTTCTTTGTTATAAATCTTTTTTTTTTTCCTTCCTTCTTCCAACTTTTCATTTAAAGAATATTACCGGGAGCATTCCAGAATTAATTCAGGCTGTGCTTCAGAGAAGAGAACAAGAAACAGGTGTAACTGAGCAGGAGAAAAACACCTACAATGCTAGTGAAGTTTCTGCTAATCTGTAATATGATAGGAGTGGCAAAATTAGGCAAACACTCAAACCATCATGGATATCATGATGGTTCTTTGCACAACTCAAAGCCACAAATGTATGAGACTTCTACCCACCCTCAGTGGACTCCACAGCAGGCAGGAGAAGGCTATTGGGAGGCAGAAGTGCTCAAGGGGGATACTCAAGACTATCCTTCCAGTTCAACCTCCTCACATCAAGAAGAGAGAGAAGATTTTGAAACTGAAAGCCCACAGTCTCGAAATAAGTAAGTACCAAATGTGTGTGTATCTTACAGGGCAATTGTGTCTGATAAATATAACATATTAATAAGAGGTCCTTTTTAATAGAAATAGAATAGAATATCATGAACATATAGTATATTTTAGGAATAAATATTATATTTTAGATTAGTAAATATAATATTTTAGGAATAAATATATATCTTACAAAAAAAAAGGCTAAATTGCTTATGGAGGATGAAACCACAGATAGGACTGACTGCTTTTCCTAGTCAAGAAAGGCTGAATGGACTTACTAGTCACCTAGATTCACCTGGTATAATGAAGCCATGTTACAGAGTCCTCAAGTTCTGTTGTAGCACAATAAAAAAAATTGTTATACTTGTAAGTAAGGTAGAAGTCAATAAAATTCATTTAGTGCCTTTTCCTGTTCATAAAACAATGGTGATTTTTGCAGGTGTATTTGTTATACAGAAAAAAAAAAATGCAATTCTGATGTTCTTGTAAAATAGTTCTTTTTCCACCTACTCTTTCTTTACTGTGCTGTTGACATGATAATGTTTCATCTCCTGAACTAGATTACAGCTTGTAAATAAATAAAACCAAAATATATTTAGCTGTAGCAATACATGACATGTCTTTGCTAACTTAAAAAAATACTTTACTACCCTTTATGGCCCTGGAATCAGCGCACTAAGAAGCAAATCCATAAGAATGTTACCTGTAGGCCTTGATTCAGCAAGGTACTTTAAGGCACACATTTTATTAACCTACATACTAACTAAATAGATGGTCAAATATCCTTTTGATATGTCCATTTCAAATAATAACAATAATGATGAATAATAAGGGCATGGAATGTGGTCTGACTAATTTATTCCTTCAGAAAAAAAAAAAAACGAGTGATTTTGAAGTCTGTAGCAACCTTTGCTCACCAAGAGAACATACTTGGCCATAGACATGGGCCTTTGGAATGGAGAGGGGAAAGAATAGGGTAGGATGCTGGCAAAATAATAACAATGAAGGCACTCAGTAACTTGTAAACATAAAAATTACTGTGAATTCAAAGAAGAAAAGATTTCACAGTGATATGCTTAGCATGGTAATCCAGAGCAGAACAGCAGCACTGAGAGGAAGAGGCATGAGGTTTACTAGAGAGATTTCTAAACACTATTTTTTAGAAGTTTTACAGGGCATGTAAGTAGGTCTCTAAATGTTTAAAATAGATGAAAACTGAGCAGGAAAGTGAATGAATCTTTCATAGTGCTGACGGGTACTGCAGAGCCCTATTTGGAGCAGCTGAAGTAGCTGCACAGCAAGTGCTGTTCACAGCCCAGTGCTTTCAGATGCACTGGTATTTTTGAATGCTCCTGAGCAGAGGAAAAGGAGGGAGATGGAAAAGAGTGTAAAACCTCATGTCATGCTTCCCTTCCATGCAAAGCTATTATGCAGTTTTGTTTCCAAAACCCATCTGTGTGTAAAGTTCAGGTCTCTGCAGCAGCGTGTGTGCACTACAACCCCGTTTCCCCTCATGCCACAGACTTCCTCTCCCAAATCTGTATCTCAGCACCATTAACCTTAGGGCATTTTCTGAACACTGCCAGCATTACTGCCAGCCTTCACTTGGGGCGCGTTCAGCGGTGACATGCACCGCTAATCCGCGGCTCCTGGGTGATGCACCATAATGCAAGGGAAACAGAGCAGGATTCCCACTCAGGACCGGAATGCTGTATTGCAAGGTGGGAATTGCATGATTTCTGGTCAAAATGGTGAAAACATTGTGAAAACTCCTCCATACTAAGAGGAGGTGTAGAAGTATACATGTATAGGTCAGCAAGACACTGTAATGCACTCCCATAACAGATGTTTTCCTTTGCTGTGTAACCAGCTATTACTCCTTCCAGTTTCCTCTTAAGAGAAATACTTCCTCCTTTTATGGGGATTATTTCGTAATGAACCAAATCACCATGTCCTTCCTGATTATAAAGCAACGTTGATGACTACCTTCAAAATCTAGCCTGTTTTGTAGCATTTCCCATTTTGCCAGAACAATCATGTTCATAGTACAAAAACCCAGTAAAATGCTATGGCTTAAAAAATAAATTTGAGATTGAGGACTACGCCCAAAACCAAGGGGGCAGTGTGAAAACAAAAAGGGGCAATGCTGCTCCCCTTGCAATCACACTCTAGAAGTCAAGGCAAAGATCTAAGCAAGGTGCATTCACGATCCCCAAACCCTCCCACCTGCACCAGGGGTTCATGGCCTCCACTACCTAACTATGTGCACATAAGAAGTTGTCATGAATCTGATATTTCCTCCCTACAAATCTGGCATATGCCCTGGCTGTGCTGTATTTGCCACTGAATAAGTGGGCCTTTACTTCTGAGAGGAAAATCCAGGAAAAAATGGCACATCAGAGTTGAGAATTAGGAGATATAGTGAGATACGGACATGTCATAAAAGGGTCTTGGGTAGAGGAGAATAATTTTCTACCAAAACTGTGTCCAAACGTCTAGTTTGCTTTTAGAATAAGAAAGACACACTTGATACCTTGGTGAAACTCTCTGTAAGCTGACTGGACACCTTGGAGAAGGCTCTTCTCTCTTTAGAGCCACTTCCATCAAGCAGCTGGTACGGACAGACATGCAGAAGCTGAGTGGATGGCAGGAGACCTGAAAGAGGAGAACGCCATGGAAGTGCTCAGCTGTGTCAGCCCTCTTGGCTATGCAGTTTAGACATGGGCAGACAGAACTGGATGCCTATTTCTCACTGCTGCTGTATGACAGCCAGGAACATCGTGGACCACTCTTTGAAGGAAAAGGCAGATTCCTTGGCCCTAGGAAGAATGTGTCATCTTCCCTATACTCTTGCCAAGAGCTTACCTTTGTTTATCAGAAATTCATGGAAAGACCTACGGTGCAGCTGCATTCAGAAAAAATTGCTTCCCATTCTTTCGAACAGATTATTTTTCAAAGCAAACAGTGTACTGAGAGCTATCACACAAGGCTCCTCAATCTCAGCACTGAGCAGAATTGTTGTCAGGAGTCCTGCTGGCTTTCACCCAGTCCACGTGCCTGCAACCCCAAGAACAGTCAGGTTGATAACTCAGATTTTATGCTGCAACATTTCATTTAATTGAAGCATCTAAAAGGTCCAATTCTGACAGCGAAGCCCAAAGTCCCTTGTACCCTCAGCTGGCCCGATCTAACTGTTTCTCAAGTTAACATTGTAGAACAGCTCACTTAAATGTTCCAGGTTAAAAATAAACTTAGGAAAAAAGCAGAGGTTATTTTTAATGGTGCCCCTCAGCAATCACAATGGCAGACTAAGCTTCCAAATGGATGTCTCACCTGAATAAGGGAAAAACGAATTGTGGCGAGGAGGTGGCAACAAGTAAAGGAAACTAAAGCTGCTGTCCTTGAATTGTGGCGAGGAGGTGTAAAGGAAGTAAAGTAAAGGAAACTAAAGCTGCTGTCCTCTTCTATGACAAAGTATCACAGAACTTCACCTGTCTTTTCAAAAATGTCATTGTTGCCTAGTAGCTGCTGTTCTGGATTTACTGTGTCTCCACAGTTGGGCTAGGCAGGTGGTTTAGTTCTTTGCCTTTAATCTGCAAACACATGCTCAGTCTCCACCTATTCCAACTTTCCTTACAATGAAAATGTGTTTACAAAAAAAGAAAATCCTGAATTATAAATACCCTGAATTATAAATAGTAAAAGCGGAATTTTTAATAAATAAATTCTCAATTGCATTAACATATTTCAAGGTTTGGATACACAGCTTTGGATACACCCCCTGATTACAGGTTCCTGACATCACCCAGATGCTTTACCTCACTGAAATATGCACTTTTTCCTTTAACGCTACGCTGAGGCAGGCACAAAGAAGTAGACTTCTTCTGTGATTACTCTGCATGTCAAAATATAGAACTCCTGTCCTTCAAAGTGTAGGGGAGCAGATAAAAATCAAAGCCATTACTCCTACTCAAGTGAAAGTCAGAATGATGTTTACTCTTAATAGCCTATTTTCTTTGCTTTTACAGGAAAACATTCATTGATTTAATTAAGGCCAGTTTCACACTGACTCATCCATTTTGTCAAAGTTAGACAGGGACTTTCTTAGGAAACTCCTGGGATACTGAAATTTCCCAACAAACATGGACAGAACAATATGCTTAAAAGAAAACAGCTTGGGTGAAATGCAGTTAAAGGTGATCAACGGCCCCCAACATCCTGAAAACTTGTGGAACAGCTTTTGAGTGCTCAACAATAGCTTCTGTCGTGCCAAGGTTATTAACAGAGAGAAGCAGTGGGTTCCCAGTTCCTGTCAGAGACAGGCACTTGACTCCTCTCTGGATTTTGAAAATTCTCAGATAAAGCCTTCAGCCCAGGCAGTGCTTGCTGATGTTTGACCCTCTTGTAGCACTGCACAGCTGCAGGGAGAAGGGCTTCCCTTCAATATATTTGATGCAAATGGCCAATTCCTGAAGAAACATGGTTTCACTGCATGCAGTGCAGTAGTCACTGAACCCCCCATGTCCAAAGGATTGTTTTATTTCCTTTGCTATCTATCTAGCTCATTGGCACAATTACAGCAATTAATTCTTTTAGCAGCGAGCAAGTTGAAGCTCTTAGCTTAAGTGTATGCCCAGAATCACCATCAACAATAAAACCCCATGGACCTGGTTTCTACTTGTGGGGATCTCTACCCTAGCAAACCCTGAACGCTCATGCCAAGGCTCAAACACCACGGGGCACATCGTGCCGCACACTGTCTGCACCATCAGTGCAAGCAAGCTGCTCCTCACCTGTGTTCCTGACTCTGTGCCATCAGCACAGCCATGCTAGAAGGTGGCTGGCTGTGATTCCTACTGCTGCCCTCTCCGTGGCTGTGGGACTTGCGCTGTGGCAAGGGTAACAGAGATGAGGTAATGGCTGTGGTTGCTTTGTGCTGAGAAAAAAAAAAAACTGCAATTACTGCTCTGAAGTAGCTCATACAGAAATCAGATTGGTTTCAAACAGC